AAGCCTAATAAAACCAGAAACACAGAGAAGTAGAACATTATGATAGCCTGAAAATAACTCTACTTATTTATATCTAGTTGTTGATAATATACACACAAGAGGAGTGAGAGAGAGAAATTGGGATGGTTGGAGGAAGGTAGAGCATACTGTCACCAGTAAACATTCCTAGGAAAACTGGATAACTACACACAGAACACAATGACTAGATACTTTCCTCTCACCGGTTGTAATATGAAGTTAAACTGCATTAAAGATTTTATGTCTAATCAAAAAGGAAGGTTTTAACTTTAACAAGTTAAAATTACATATCACAAAACAGTTATCAAGTAAGAATTACAGTTACAATATCTAGTGTATCTGTATTTGACAAAATCAGAGAAAATACTCTATTATCTATCATGTCTTTGTGAGTCTAAAGTTTCATATCTAATTTACCTTTTATCATAACTAAGTAAAACTATAACTATAACTATCTAGCCTTCAACTCCATCAAAGACCCCAGAAGGACATAATATCACCTGAGTAAACAGGAAGTGCATTGCAAGCAACTTCAAAAGTCTTGAAATGACAAAGAAATCTGGCTGCCTGTGGAGGAAATGCTGTGGGATAACCCCTCTGTATGCTGTGAATATGTTTTATTACCATTGAAAAATAAAGAAACTGCTTTGGCCTACAGCAAGGCAGGATAGAGTCAGGCAGGAAAGCCAAGCCGAAATGCAGGGAGAAGAAGGGAAGAGTTGGGAACAGAAGCCAGCCAGCTGCCAGAGGAGCTAGATGTATTAGAACACAGGTAAAACCATGAGACACATGGCAAAACATAGATTAATAGAAATGGGTTAATTTAAATTGTAAGAGCTAGTTAGTAATAAGCCTGAGCAATAGGCCAAAACAGTTTGTAATTAATTAAAAAAAGATTTAATGTAAGGTATAAAACTATTAGAAAAATATATAATGAAAATGTCATAGAACATTAGTTCAGACTAAGAGTTCTTGAATATAATCTGAAGATACAAGCAATAAAAGTGAAAATGAATAAATGAGATTCTATCCAGCTAGATTTTTTCTTTCATGACAAAAAAAAACTACAAACATAGTGAACTGAAATATATAGAATGGGACAAAAAATTATAAATTCATATATTGCTCAAGCATATAAACATACATATATCTGAGAAGGGTTGAAAGTTTAGTGTATAGGGAACTCAAGAAACTCAGTAGCAAAACAAATAACTACTGTATAGGTATTTTAAAAAGAAAACACAACTGGCATGTGTGTGGTGTGTGTGTGTGTGTGTGTGTGTGTGTGTGTGTGTGTGTGTGTGTGTAAACTTCACTAATGATCAGGGAAATATGAATAAAACACAGAGTGAGTGAGATACAAGCATGCTTTGATAAGACTAAAAGAAACAAGTGTTGGTGAGGAAGTGACTTGCTTGTACACTGTGGTTGTGAATATAAATTACAAGAGCCATCATGGAAAACAGTATGGTGCTTTTTAAAAAAAAACTGTAACTACCTGTGACTAAGGAATCCTAGATGCATAAATATGCAGAGAAAACAAAATTATGATGTCAGACATCTTTCTTAAGTCACACAGACATGGAAACAACATATTTATAACCAAGATATGAAAACAACCAAAGTGAATTTCTGTCACCTGAGGAAAGGGTAATGAAAATGTAGGTACACAGGATAGAACAGTATTGAGAAAGCATAGATCTGAAATCCTGTCGTTCACCACAATGTAGACAGAACTAGCACTAGACTGAGTGGAGTAAGCAAGCCAGGGCCACACAGAGTCTACACCGACTTCAGTCAGATGTGGAATATAAAACATTACTTTCATAGAAATTGAGACTTGATTGTTAACAGTTCACTAAGGAGGATACTAGGGTAAGGTTGATCAAGAAGCACTGAAACACAGTTAGGGAAAAGAAGTTCTAGTACAGTATGTTTCAATGAGATGATTATAGACTACTGTACTCATAACAGAAAATCAAGGAAAGGTCTTGAAAAGTTTTGATCATATAGAAATGATACATGTATGAGAAGTAAGGTGTGTTATATATTATTTAAACATTTGATAGTATATACATGTAATTCAGCTTCATGTTATCTCAGTAACAGGTCCACATTTTGTGAATTTATATATAAATACAAATGTAATTTCTAAAGGGAAAGCAAAGGGCAGTCTCCTTGGTTTTAAAAGAAAACTGCTATTTATCTTTAGTTGAAGAAAGAAAGCTCTCCCTTACACAACATCAGCTAATAAATGATAGGAGAATTAGAAATAAAATAAAATATTCATTTAAGAATCATTTTAATCACTATTGAAAGCCATGGGAGGAAACCATGCATGCATCTTCATAATAATTGAAAGAAAATAAGCTTATATTTAAACAGTTTGGAAGTTTTTACCTTAAGAAATCAAGATATACTGTAGCTGGAGAACTTCTCTCCAGGGCCCACCAAGCCCCACAGTCCCACAACCCACATATAAAATAATCTCTCAGATGCTTATATTACTTATAAACTGTATGGCCATGGCAGGCTTCTTGTTATCTACTTCTTCTATCTTAAATTAAACCATTTCTATTAATCTATAAGTTGCCACATGGCTCGTGGCTTACCGGTACCCTACATCTTGCTTGTCTTGGCGGTGGCTGGCAGGTCTCTCCCTCGCAGCCTTTCACTTCCCAGAATTTTCCTCTCTCCTTGTCCCACCTATACTTCCTGCCTGGCCACTGGCCAATCAGTGTTTTATTTATATAGAGCGATATCCACAGCACTTCCCCTTTTCTTCTTTTTGAAAAAAGGAATGTTTTAACTTTAACATAGTAAAATTACATATAACAAAACAATTATCGAGCAAGAATTACAGTTACAATATTAAAAAAGACATTCTACCTATCTTATATTTGTGAGTTTAAGGTTTTACATCTAACTTATCTTTTATCATAACTAAGGAAAATTGTAAGTATCTACACATCAAAGACCTCAGAATGATATAATACTACCTGAGAAATGGGAGAAGGATGCAAGCAACTTTCGGGAGTCTTGCAGGGTAGACAGAGACAACTGACAGCCTGGACAGTCATCCAAAGTTCTTTTGTAAAGTTGGGGCATCTGTCTTCAGCCCACAGGCCAAGAGTCTCTCAGTTACTTTTCTCTGTGTCCTGTAGAATGTCTGGCAGTTTCCTCTGCAAAGCAGGAACCTGAAGGACCATTTTGTCAAGCAAAGTTCAGTGGTCACCTTTCTATGGGTCCTGCATGTCCAGTTGATCAAGCCGTCCAGAAAAGAACAGTTTCTTGCCCAAATGGCTATTTTTGCCAAGGTGAAGATAAACTCCATATGGAGTGTCTTCGATGCCCATCCTTCTCTCTGAAGTAAATCGGTGCTGTCAGGAGCAGACATGTCTCACTGTCCAGAAAGTCTAAATTTTTAAAAGATTTTAAATGTCATATTCTGTAGGTCTTTGAAGTGTTTGAAGACTACCTATCTATCTGAAATAGATCTATGTATAGCTTAGATAACATGGCTACAAATATGATTATCATAGATGACTAATTATTAATCTATTTTTAATTATCCATTACAATTTTAAATGAGTTACATAAACATAATACCTCAAACAAGAATAGAGCCGGGTGGTGGTGGCGCACGTCTTTAATCCCAGCACTCGGGAGGTAGAGTCAGGCGGATCTCTGTGAGTTCGAGGCCAGCCTGGACTACCAAGTGAGTTCCAGGAAAGGCACAAAGCTACACAGAGAAACCCTGTCTCAAAAAACCAAAAAAAAAAAAAAAAGAATAGAAATATATATATACAGTATAACAAAATTAAGTTTAAACTTGTATCAATAAACTAAAATCTATAGCAATGTAAAACATTTTAAATAAGTTGTTACTCTTTAAAAGTAGGTTCATTAATCTACCCTTTTATCCTATCATATCTAAACTATCTCCCCCTTTTTTTTAGAAAGAGATCGTATTTATAATCAACCTGTTTTAAACAAAAATATTGGTTTTTCTCTGTTCCACACCAGAGGGCTTTTCTGATTTGGGACACAAGAATCTCTTAACCATTTTTTTTAAGCAATATGTCTGGGTTTAGAGGGGGAGTGAGCCAATTCCATCTCTAAAGCCAGCTTGGTATATTTGGGAATTTGGGCGTAGCTTCTCTTACTACTTCCTGCTGGAGGGGGGCGCTGTATCTTATGGGGACACAAAGAAAATTTTAGGATTATGGAGTAGTCCATGAGGTTGTATGGTCTGAGCCAGTTGCCTGAAACCATTTTGGATGTTGGATCATCTGGGCCATGATGTCATTGGAGACCTTTTAGAGGGTCTTGGCTGGTCAAACCTGATGTATCTTAATCTGGAACAAATCCATAACCTCTGGCTTTCTGTGGAAACAAAAGCAGAGACTCTTTTCCAAAGCAACATATTTTTATATCCAAATTTTGAAGTCAAGGTACCTTTAAAATTTACATTTTGGCATAACTCAACAGCTTTTACAATCAAATGTTTTTGTTTTTTTTTTTACTTACGAATATCCAAGACAACATAATCCAGATTCTCTGTGTGATAGCCATCTTATGTGGCTTATTACCTTTAATGTTTCTTTAAAGACTTTATTTTTAAAAACTATCTATTTGTTTATATAACTGTATATATTCCTTTTTTTTCTCTTTTTTAAGCCTACTTTCATTTTTCCATACATTGTAAACTATTCCATCTGAATCAGTCTTATTGTGAAGTTATTGCTATAAACTGTAGCTTTCTAAGCCTGAAATGGTGCTGTGGCTGTTGGCTCCACCCACTTCAGCTTCCCAACATGGCGGTGGTACATTTTCTGCCAGCTCTGGGAGCTATCAAGTCTCAGAAATAGTGGGTCTATGCTTCTATCAAAGCAGCGTGTAGCCCAGAAACCTCTCTCTCTCTCTCTCTCTCTCTCTCTCTCTCTCTCTCTCTCTTTTTTTTATACCAGTAAAGACTAAATCTACCACACAGCTTAATGTGCCCCTGGCAGACTCCTCATTCCCGCCATACTGTCAGTTAAATGCACACGCCAGGAACCCGCCAGTAGTTCAAACCTGCATTTTGCAGTGTCTAGCTGCCTATATGAGACATGAAGGATCCTGGTTTTGGCTCTGTTTAGAATTGGTTATTAAATATTAGTCAGGTTTAAGGTGGAAACTCGAGCCGTTGGGCGCCATTTGTAGCTAGAGAATTTCTCTCCAGGTCCCACCAAGCCCCACAGTCCCACAACCCACATATAAAATAATCACTCAGACAGATGCTTATATTACTTATAAACTGTATGGCCATGTCAGGCTTCTTGTTATCTACTTCTTCTATCTTAAATTAAACCATTTCTATTAATCTATAAGTTGCCACATGACTTGTGGCTTACCGGTACCTAACATCTTGCTTGTCATGGTGGTGGCTGGCAGGCCTCTCTCTCTCAGCCTCTCACTTCCCAGAATTTTCCTCTCTTCTTGTCCCACCTATACTTCCTGCCTGGCCACTGGCCAATCAGTGTTTTATTTATATAGAGTGATATCCACAGCAGTAAACATTAATGATTATGGGTCAATTAGGAGATGGAGTATGGCATTTTATAGAATATAGCTGATGTAATATAAAGTGTCCAGCTTGACTTAGAGAGATTATATATAATTTACAGAAAATGTATGAACTAGATAAACTCTTTAAATAGTGGCACAATGATATAACAAAAACGTGTGACTTCAAATAAAATAATAGACTTGATCTCATAAAATCTTTGCTATCATGAATTTAAAAGCTAAACTGTGGGTTACATGAGAACTAACTGGGGTCTATGTGTCTATAATCCCAGGATCGGAAGGAAAAGAGAAGATAATTATGAAGTTGAGGCAAGCAAAGTGAGAAAAAAAAAGGGAGCCTGGGCTACACAACTAAATTCTAGTTCAAAACAAAACTGAAACCAAAGGAACTAAAGAAAACAAAAGTGAGTCATACATTTTGTCTTGCTTTCTGCTTTGAAAGGTCGTGGGAAATCACTGAACCTATTTCAGAGGATTTGAATACGATCTGGATGAATCAGTATACCACAGCAATGAAAGCAAAGTAGAAAAAAGTGATACTAAGATTTTTGCCAATTTTAGTAGACGTGAGAGTGGCCTTCCCACCCTAAGTACTTGAAAGACTTCACAGACCCATTGTCTCTGGCTTATTTCATATTAAGTCAGGAAATATGTAAGTGTATGTGTGTTAATATGTATGCAAAAAAGAAAGGGTATTTAAAAATATTAGCAATTATTTGTATATTTTTGTGAATGCATCTTCTTTTTTTGTACCTTTTATTTATCTTTTTATAATTTTATACAAAATTATTGGGGAAATTTCTAACTTTTGAAAGATGCAAGTAAAGCTCTAAAGAGGGTACAATATTTAAAAATACCTCTAAGAAGCCCAATCCATTATGAAAGATTAAAACATGAATGAAACAGATTTACACATTTGAAGTAGGGTACAAATTAAAAAACTCTAATCAATATGCTATTATATCTCAGAGGAAAGTACAATTCAAGACCTAAAGAAATAAAATTGTACATGTATAAAATATTTATTTGTTATTTTTCATCAGCTTACAAGGTAGTATGTTTCATAATGTCATATATACACATATATAAATTATATGTATGTATACACACATATATATGTATATATATAATTATATATATAAAATTTTATTTGATTCTGTCCCATACTCCATCTTCTTGCTTTCTTTTGTCCCCTCTGGACCCTTTATCCCCCCTAATATTGCCACATTTTATAATCTCATGAGTTCTATTGTGTTTTCTATCTCATCCCTTAAAGCATCTGAACACACATATTTAATAAGTAGAAGGTAGGAGCTGCACATGAAGGAGGGAATGTACAATATTTGTCTTTTTGAGCCTGGTTTATCTCACTTAATATGTTTATCCATCCCATCCACAGTCTTGAAGATTTTTATTTCATTTTTCTTTATTGTGCAATAAAATCTCATTGTGTCTATGTAGTACATTCCATTATCTGTTCATCACTGATGGACATCTGGGCTGATTTTAACTCCTTGCCATTGTAAAAACAGCAGTGGTAAACATCTCTGTAGAAAGCTGTAGAGTCCTTTCAACAAAGGTCTAGGAATGGGATAGCTGGAGAGTGCGCAGTCCTTCTTTAGGTTTCTTGAGAAGCTTCCACACTGATTTCTCCACAGGCTGCACCAGTTTACACTCCCACCAGACTTTCTTCTCTCCCACATCATTAACAGAATTTGTTGTCACTTGTTTTCCTGATGATGCCATCTGATCGGGGTGAAGGGTAAGAAAAGGTAAATTCAAAATTATTTCAATTTGTGCTTTATTGATCTCTAGAGATCCTGGATACATTTAAAGGTGTTTATAGTCCATTTAGAATAAATGAATAAAAATTTATTTGTAAGAAAGAAATTCAGGGATGCTTGATGTAGGAAATTAGATTCAAACTAAACATTTATCTAAATACTATGGTGTATCTTTCCAGATCATAAACAAAAATGTTTTGTTCTAATACATAATAAATAATAGGTAATAGAGGATATTATAATTAAATATTATAATACTAAATATTATAATTAAACTAAATTCACAGCAGCCATTCTTATTTAGGTGTTTTGTTTTGTTTTTGAGACAGAACCTCACTGTGTGTCCCTGGTTAGTTAAGAACTGCATTTACATGCCTCCTAAGGCTGAGATTAAAGGAGTAAGTGCAACTCTGCCCAGCTATTTAGATGAACTTTGGCTTAAGCAGTATTCTTCGTAGTCTTCACACCACACACTATCTTATGGCCTCATTAAAACAAAAAAAAGTTGATACAATAACAAGAACTTGAAATGAAAAATTATTTACTAAGCATGCTTGTTTTGAATAACACCCATCCTTCTCATTAGTGCAGTATTTTAATCTTTTCGGGGAGCTTTATTTTAATACTTCCATGGGTTACATGTCGTGGAAATGATGATTCCTTTATATAAAGTCAAAAAATGAGAATTTTTTAGGTTATCACTAAAACAGAATTGGTTATGACAGAAACCAGTTGCTTTCTCCTCTTTGAAATGAAAAAAAAGAAACAATAGAGAATCAAGGGAATTCTAACTCATAACACACAGGAAAATGAACCTGTGGATGTGCTCTGTGTTGTGGAAAAAGTGAGAGTTGATGGGTGCTGGTGCTGTGCATGCTGTGAATGTGTTGCTCCCATTGGTTGATAAATAAAATGCTGATTGGCCAGTAGGCAGGCAGGAAGTATAGGAAGGATAAACAGACAAGGAGAATTATGGGAAGAGGAAGGCTGAGTCAAGAGTTGCCAGCCAGACACAGAGGAAGCAAGATGTGAAGGCAGAACTGAGGAAAGGTACCAAGCCACGTGGCTAAACAAATAAGAATTATGGGTTAATTTAAGTGTAAGAGCTAGTCAATAGTTGGCCTGAGCTAATGGACGAGCAGTTTTAATTCCCATAAGCTTCTGAGTGATTATTTTATAAGCAGCTGTGAGGTGTGTGGGCCTGGGTAAGACCAGAGAAAACTTTAGCTACAGAGAGTAAATGTTCCTCAGGGTCTCTCCACTTTGCTCCTGCCCTTAAGACATGATTCTGTTTTTGTGTACACCTAGAGTAGTACATTTGATTTTTTTTAAAACCTCATGTCACACAGAGGAATAATCTCATACTTAAGTCTCTGGCAATGCTCTTGAATCAAGCAATAATATCTAAAATAGTGCTGGGAGCTTCTGAATTTGAAATTATCTAAACTTGGCATCTAAAGATGAGGTTGCAAGTCAGCACATAGAAGCCTTTGCTCATATTGGAAATCATTTCAGTTAGTAAAGTTCATAACTTGTAAAAAATTGTGTTTTGTGCAAGTTTTAAAATAAGTGGTTGTGCATTTGTTTTGGACTTAAAATTGAAATGGTGATTAATATCAGTGGTTCTTTATAAAATATGATTATAGAAAGCATACATTCTAAGGCATTGTTTTAGAAAAGGTCATAACTCATGTCAGCAAATAAAAAGTACATGAAATCATGGTTGTTTTTTATTTTCCTTTTGTACAGCCTACCAAATTTTTATGGAAGATTGAATTGTGTTGGAATAAAAAGTTAAGAGATTTTAAAAAATTAATAAGTACCAAAAACTTTAAGTACTTAAATTCTTAGTATTTCCTTATCTTCAACTGGTGACGCTGGTATCCTGGCCAGCAGCCTTGGGGTTCTTTTCTTCTTTTATGCACTGCAGACTGTCTTTTCTCAGTCCCCTGAGTGCTGCCTTTACAGGAAGGAACATGCCATTGCACTTGAAATGAAATGCCTTTGAATCTGAGGTACAGATGAAGTTCACAAGAATAAGTATGATATGGCAACCTCTCTGTATAATGTGCTGTGTTCTATCAAGCACAAAACAGTAGATACTTTCTATTCACCATTTGCCCACAATTAATTACCAGTGTTCTTTAACCAAGTGTTCTTCAATTACGAGTATGCTGAAAAGTTTAAGAATAGTCTCTCTTGTCACTCTATGCCTCTGAAAATCTGGTTCAATGTTCTATTGACATGGAACATCTTTCACAGTCCAGTGAAGGAGATGAGACTCTTTTGTTTCTTTCTTGCACAGATACTTGATACTTAAATGAAATATCAATATTTGAAAGACATTCCTAGCATTTACAATTGTAAGATTCACATAATTCCTCCTACCTCAATCCTGGACCCATCAAACCATATTTTGTATGTGTTTTAAAATTGATTCTTGGTTTTAAAATTATTGAATTAAAACAGTTCTATACTTTAGTACAGAGTTGTTTTAGTTGCTCAGGCTGTTATAATGAAATTCCATAAATGATGTGGCTTCAACAACATATTATTTCTCACAGTTCTGGAAGCTAGAAAGTTCAAGATCAATATGAGGCAGAAAATAAAAGGAGGGGAAAATGTGCTGATATGATTTAGGGAAAGGAGCCCTTATCAGAAGCCACTGGTCAAAAACAAGGTTGCAAGCTTTTTGTTTACCTGTTTGCTTTGTTTTCCAAACAGAGATGGGAGGAAGGGAGAAGGGTAGGTGGGAAGCATCTGGGAGGAGTTGGGAGAAGGGAAACCATCATCAGAATAAATTGTATGAAAAATACTATGTTCAGTTTTAAAAAGTGGTAAAAATAAAATAATTTTGGCAAATTAGCAGCTTCTTAAGGTTTTCTACTTTCTCAGCTATAAAGCAGCTATTTGCTATGAAAATAACAGAAACTTTTGTTATAGGGGAAAGTAATGTTCTAAATCATTTGCGTAAATATAGCATCTTACAATTTTATATTAATAGATTATAATTTCATCAAGGAATCTCCTTATAATCTTACTTATCTAAAAAGAGAAAATGGGGGAAAAGGGTTTATTAACAACCTTTCAAGATATAACATACTGGTTAATGCTAAAATTTAATTGTGACTTTCCATTGCAAGCTCACTTCCTTAATTGTCTTACTTCCTGCAGATCTCTCATATGGAAACCCAGACCCATGCTCTTAGATGTATTTTTTTCCCTATACACCTATCCTCTAGGCACTACATAGAACCATATTAAAAATATATCTAATAAAGTCTCTGACTCTGTTCTAAAATACTGGCTAGTCCTGAAATTTATTTTCAGCACTGAAGCTATCAATCCTGGTTGACCTGAGTCAGGATCCCTACAATATTAAAACTGTAGGGCTGCTGAGGGTAACAGTATAGAACTGTATCTCTATCTCATCACCACAGACAAAGACACAGGAAAATCTAGTGTATGCTATACATCCTTGGTTCAAAGTCAATCATCTTTTTCTTATGTTCTCACAGAACAGAAGAGGTAAAGTTGATTTCTGGGACCCCTTTTATAATGGGATTAGATTCATGATCACTCTACTCTGAAGACTTATTTGCCAGGTGCCCTACCTCCTAATATTATCTCTTTGGGGGTTAAAACTTCAATATCTGGGGATTACATTTGGTCCATAACAAGAAGGTTTTGTGGCACCTTTTTTCCCCATTAAATGTTGTGCTTGCTGACAGTGTTCATTTGAAATGATTTCTAGATATCAATGATTTCCACCCATCATCCTTTTGAGATGAATATCCTTTACTTCTGCTGGACTGTATGAAGACCAGCACTCTGAAATTCCTGATAGATTGAGCAGTAGTCACAAGAAAGTTAGCTATGAGCAATTTCTCCCTGTAGTTATAGTAAAATTTGATTCCCTTCTTTAAGCCCTATCCAAATAAACTTGTGTTAGTACTTAAAGATCATTTGATTCTCCCCTTCCAAATTTTGTATCTGGGAAAATACTACATTCTTCTAAATTATTTTGTATTACTCCTTTCTTCAATGAAAGCTTTTCTTTATTTGTTCTTATTATTTTTAGTATATAAGTAAAAATATTCATCAGAAATTACCTAATGAGCCTTTAATGGTAGTAGAACTTTTTGACAGTTTAATCCTAAAACATTTTATTTAGACAGTTGTGTTTTGAAGCTATCTAAATAACAGTATCTTTATATTATGTGTGTGATACAAAAAACAGATAACAGAGATAACATTTATATTAATTAAGAAAAAAGCAGTGTCCTTACAACACTACTTTTGGTAGAACTTCAGTTTGAAATATTTTAGAGTTCAGGAACAGTACTCATTGTGAAATAGTTGTTAATAAAAATGACATTAGTTCTATAATTATTCTCATCTAGGGTTTTGACCAGGTTTGCTGTTTTCTGTCAATTAAAGAATTAAAGGGCAGGAACAATTTTTGAACACAAAAGGTAAACAACAGGGGAAATCTCAGATACAGCAAACAAAATCAACTGGTGCATACAAGCTTTTATCAGGTGATGGGAAAACACACAGAGCAAGGCATACTGTAACATGAATCTTAAACGGTCTTATTAATAAAAACAAACCCAGAGCCAGATATTGGGGTGAATGCTGAAAGATCAGAGAAACAGAACAAGCCACATCCAACCTCACCTTGCCAACTTCTCAGTTGATCTTGTTTCCTGAGACTGAAAGCCTCTTAGTCCTCATCCAAATGGATCTCAGCTGAACTGCTGCTAAAAAGCCTAAGTTTAAAAGCCTCTAGTTCCTGGTCCTCATGCCTTCTATACCTTTTTACTTCCTGTCATAACTTTCTGGGATTAAAGGTGTGTGTCTTTCCCAAGCAAGATGTGAGATCTTAAGTGCTGAGATTAAAGGAATGTGTCACCATGCCTGGTTGTTTCCAGTGTGGCTTTGAACTCACAGAGATACAGA